CCCAGTCCCTGGTACTCTGTCATACTTGCTGTCTCTGCCTCTGTGAATTTGCCTATTCTAGGTATCTCATATAAGTGGAATCATACAATATTTGTCCTTTTATGACTGACTTACTTCACTCAGCATAATGTTCTCAAGGTTCACCCATGATGTAGCATATATCTGAATTTCATTCCTTTTTAAGGCTGAATAACTTTCCAGTCTATGTATACATCATATTTTGTTTATCCATTCATTGCTTCTCTGTTGATGGACATTTGAGTCGCTTCTACCATTTTGCTGTTTTGAATAATGCTTCTATTAAGATTGGTATGCAAGGATCTGTTTGAGTTCCTGTTTTCAATCCGTTTGGGCATTTACCTAAAAGTGAAATTGCTAGATCATGTGATAATTCTATGCTTGACTTTTTGAAGAACATGCCACACCATTTTCCACAGCAGCTACGCCATTTTGAATTCCCACCAGCAATGCACCACATCCTCCCAGAGTCTGCGCCCCAGAGCAATAAACTCAAGGACTGGAAAGCAGGGGAACTCCAAACAAATACAGTTCTCCACACCCTTGCCAATGCTTGGTTTTTTTTTTGGTTGGGTTTTTTTTTTTTCTTCTGTATATATAAAACGGTCATTCCAATGGATATGAAGTGCGTGATCTGTTTTTTTTAAACTACCTTTTTTAGATTTTATTATCAAGGTTAAGCCATCCAATAAACTGAGAATCTTCCCTTCTATCTCCATGTTTTGGAACAGGTTGAATAATATAGATATTTTCTTTGTAGGTTTGAAAAAACTTATCAGAAGAACCATCTGAGCCAGACATCACTCTCTCAGAGCTAGTTCTTTGACAACTGTCCCTATTTCCTCACTGGTTACAAATATAAGCAGTTTTTCTAATTCTTCTAGAGCCTTTTGAGTCATTTTTATTTTGCTAGAAAACCAGGTGTGACACAGGGGACTCAGATTTTCTTTTTTGGTATAAATAAATATATATATATGACAGTTATCATTTCTAATATTGTCTCTTTTTTCTCTCTTTTGAGATTAGCTTTCCCAATTATATGTTTGTTTGTTTGCTTGTTTTCTCTCCAAAAACAAGCTCTTGGATTTGTTTGGAGTTCCTCTGTGTTCTGGTCATTGGGTTTATTGCTCTGGGGAGCAGACTCTAGGAGGATCTCCCACTGGGGTCACAGTGGGGCAGCCAGAGGTCATGCTTAAGGGAGGACTCTAGAGCCAGACGGTCTGAGTTCAAGTCCTCATTCCTTACTTACTAGCTATTTGACTTTGAATAGTTACTTAGCCTCTCTGTGTTTCAGTTTCCCCATCTATAGAACTGGGGAGGGGGGGAGAGATAGAACCTGCCTCATAAGCTTAATATTAATATTAAAAAGTTGATATTTCTTTAGTGCTTAGAAGAGTGATGCCTGGCACATAGTAAGCACTATATAAGTTTTCTCTTTTCTCTTTCTTTTTTCAGCCAAAGTCTTGCCCAGGCTGGAGTGCAGTGGCACCATCTCAGCTCACTGCAACCTCCGCCTCCCAGGTTCAGGTGATTCTCCTGTGTCAGCCTCCTGAGTAGCTGGAATTACAGGCACCTGCCACCATGCCTAGCTAATTTTTTGTATTTTTAGTAGAAATGGTTGGGCTGGTCTTGAACCAACCATAACCATGTTGGTTGGGCTGGTCTCGAACTCCTGACCTCAAGTGACCCACTTGCTTTGGCCTCCCAAAGTGCTGGAATTACAGGTGTGAGCCAACGCACCCAGCCATAACTTTTCTTAAATACAGCTAGACTTCCCCCCAGTATGCTAGAAGCTTAGGTCGCTTAGGAGCTTCTCCATTTCCCAAGGTGCTTTCTGCACCTTTCCACTGCTTCCACTAATTAACTGCCTCTTATTTTACAGAACCACCTCTGTGCAGAAAAGCAACCACCTTGTTTTCTATTCTGCTGCCTGAGACAACCACATCCTCCTCCTACACCCAAAGGCTCCCATGGAGAGCTCAGGTCAGTGTGGTGGGGGGGAAAGGGGTCTAGTGAGCCTGCTGCCGAGTGGGGAAGGCCCTTCTCATGGGTGAGGATGCCTCTAGGGCTGGCAGGACCCCCTGCACGTAGACAGGCTGCAAGACCACAGTTCAGGGATCCTGCCTAAATGTGAGAACATCTTGAGAGTTGGACATCTACACACTTGCACGAGGCTCCAACTGCTGGCTGGACACTGAGCTTGACAATGGGAATAATGACAAGAATAGTCAAGATTTACTGCCAAATACTTGTGACTATTTAACAAAAACCTATATAGCACTTATAATGGATTGAGGAGGGATAAAAGCACTTGACAAATATTAACTCATTTAGTCTTGGTTAACCCCCTAAGATAGGGATTATTACCCTCGTTTTACAGAAGAGGAAATGGAGGCATGCCAGAGGCAGGTACTTTTCCCCCAGTCACATAGCTATTGAGTGGTCAAATCAGGAGTGGAACCCAACAATCTAGCTCCAGTGTCTAGGCTTAATGATTTCAGTATGGATTGCCTTGCACAAATGCCAGAAGGATTCTGTGAGGTGGGCCTAGCACTATGATTATCCTCAATTTTCTGAAAGGGAAACTGAGGCCTGGAGAGGTTATATAATTTCCTCAAAGCCACACAGCTAGTAAGTGGCAAAGCCAGAACTGGGGCCTAGTCTGGCTGATTTCAAAGCCTGGACTCTTCACCCTATGTCAACTTGGGACAACAGGGAAAGATGACCGACCCCCAGCAAGGTGTGCATCATCTATTGGTCACTCAGAAAGTCAAAGATCACACCTTAGGCCACCAAGCCAAGACTCTAATTCTCCTAAAGATCCCTGTCCTGAGGAAGGGAAGGGCACCCCCTAGGCATCAGCTGCTCAGTTGTTAATATTCCTATGACATAAATTCTTTTGACGTCCATCCTTCCATCCATCCATCCACCCATCCATCCATCCATCAAGAGCCTCGTCCAATCAGAAGAAGCTCCACGGAGTCAGGCAACTCCAGTGAATCCTGGTGTTACAATATTCTGGGTCATCCATAACCAGCTGGGGTTTGGAGTGGGAGGCCTGGGATGGGGAAGCACTGTGAAAATCTCCTAAATACAGTCAGGCACTGCATATTGGCAACGTTTTGGTCAATGACGAGCCTTATAAACAGCAGTGGTCCCAAGACAGAGTACCATATTTTTACTGTGCCTTTGCTATGTTTAGACACACAGAAACCATTGTGTTACAGTTGCCTACAGTACTCAGTGCAGTCACACGCTGTGTAGGTTTGTCGCCTAGGTGCGTAGCAGGCTATGCCGTGTAGGTTTGTGTAAGTGAGCTCTGCGATATCCATACAATGATGAAATTGCCCCATGACATATTTCTCAGAACATATCCCTGTAGTTAAGTGGCACATGAAGGTATTTCAAATCCAACTTACTTTGCACTCACTTTATAACAATAATTATATGCCATGCTGTCTTTTAGGAAAAGAGGTGCACCAATAAAGGTTTGTTGTATATAAGCAATAGAAACTGATGTGGCCAATTTAATTTTTTAAAAATGTGGCCAAGCATCAAAGGAAAAGCTGAAGCACCAGACACCAGAAAGGGCAGGGAAAGCGTAGCCCTGCCACCAGGACAGAGAGAGGTAGGCAGTGTCCTTGGAGAGCACACCAGGCATCCTTCCCTCCTGGCCATTCTCTGCCCAAGCCTGAGAGAGAGACAGAGACAGAGAGTATCAGTCCTTGGGCAGCCTGGTCCTGTGCCCACACCAAGGTTGAAGCTAAGTAGGCACCTGGGTCACAGTCCCACCAAGACTGCAATGAGCAGGGAGGGACGCTGGGCAGGTGAAGCCACTGACATCCCCCTCCAAAGGTGTGGCAGATGACTCCCAGATCCAATGGGTAAAAGGAAACATCCCCAAATCAGGATGATTGCCCTGGCAACTCAGAAGAGGAGTTCATCATGACCAGGACTGCAGTTGTCTTTCCACGTTATGACTTTTTTTTTTTTTTTTGAGACAGAGTCTCTCTCTGTCACCCAGACTGGAGTGCAATGACACCATCTAGGCTCACTGCAGCCTCCGCCTCCTGGGTTCCAGCGATTCTCCAGCCTCAACCTCCCAAGTAGCTGGGATTACAGGCATGCACCACCGTGTCCGGCTAATTTTTCTGTATTTTTGGTAGAGACGGAGTTTTACCATGTTGCCCAGGCTGATCTTGAACTCCTGACCTCAGGTGATATGCCTGCCTCGGCCTCCCTAAGTGCTGGGATTACAGGCGTGAGCCACCGCGCCCTGCCTATGATTGTTTTTAACACTCTCCACCTTCCCACAGCTCTTGGAGTCCTCCCATCCTACAGTTAGGAAGAGGGGTACCTGAGAAGTAAAATATTTATTTCAGGGTATGCAAAAGACCAATATTTCAGGAGCACCAAGCTGTTGTTATTTTGCCATGCCTGCAAACAGGGGTAAGATTGCAAAGGTTTTCCATACAATCTGAGCCATTATACTGCATAAGGGTAAGGAGGATCAGGTGTAGGCTGAAAGAGGTGCATCTGGGTACTGGAGGCCCTCTAGGTGTGGCTTTCTGTGATTGGAGAGGCAATGTGTGACAAAGGTAAGGGCTCTAGACCTGGAATCTATCAAACAGGGAGAGAATAGTATTTGTCCTGCCAAACTCACAGGGGGCTTGTCAGAATCAAGTGAGATAAGACATTGGAAAACACTTTGCATATCCATGAGTCAGTCAGAGAACAGTAGCTGCTTTAAAAGCAAATGGCCCCAGATGTCAGAGGATTAAGACAAAACATGCTTATTCTTATTCTCACTGCAGTCCAATTTGAGCTTCAAGCAGACAATGAGACTTATTCCGTCTTGTGCAAAGGGAAGGGGAGTATGGAGGACAGTGCAGGGAACACAGGCCTGTGAGTGACTTACATCATTTCCACCACATTCCATTGGCCAGAATGCAGTCACATGGTTTTTATCTAACTGCAGAGGAGTTTGGGAAATGCAGTATTGCTGTCTCTTGGTGACAAATATGAACTTGGTTTGGTGAGCACATAGCATCACCTTACCACACCTATGGAAGACTCTCTGTGTGTACACCTTTCAAGTGCTATTTAAATGTTATGTATTCAAGGAGGTGAAAGATCTTTACAAGGAGAAGTACAAAACACTGCTAAAAAGAAATTATAGATGACATGAACAAATGGAAAACAATTACAATGCTCATGGATTGGAAGAATCAATATTGTTAAAATGGCCATACCACCCAGAGCAATCTACGGAGTCAATGCTATTCCTGTCAAACTACCAATGTCATTTTCATAGAACTAGAAAAAACTATTCTAAAATTTATATGGAACCAAAAAAGGGCTCAAAGAGCCAAAGCAATCCTAAGTAAAAAGAACCAAGCTGGAGGCATCACATTACCTAATCTCAAACTATACTACAAGGCTACAGTAACCAAAACAGCATGGTACTAGTATAAAAATAGACACATAAACAATGGAACATGATAGAGAATCCAGAAATAAAGCTACATGCCTACAGCCACCTGATCTTTGACCAAGCTGATAAACATAAGCAATGGGGAAAGAACTTTCTATTCAATAAATGGTGCTGGGATAACTGGCTAGCCATGTGCAGAAGAATGAAACTGAACCACTACCCTTCCCCATATACAAAAATTAACTCAAGATAGATTAAAGATTTAAATGTAAGACCTCAAATTACATGAATCCTAGGCAATACCATTCTAGACATCAATCTTGAGAAAGAATTTATGGACTAAGTCCTCAAAAGCAATTGCAACAAAAACAAAAATTGACAATTGGGACCTAACTACACTAAAAAGCTTCTTTTTGTTTTGTTTTGTTGAGACAGAGTCTCGCTCTGTTGCCCAGGCTGGAGTATAGTGGCGCAATCTCAGCTCACTGCAATCTCCACCCCCCAGGTTTAAGTGATTCTCGTGCCTCAGCCTCCTGTGCAGCTGGGATCACAGGCATGCATCATTACGCCCGGTTAATTTTTGTATTTTTAGTAGAGATAGGATTTTGCCCTGTTAGCCAGTCTAGTCTCGAACTCCTGGCCTCAAGTGATCCGCCCCTCTCTGCCTCCCAAAGTGCTGGGATTACAGGCATGAGCCACCACACCTGGCCTACACTAAAGAGCTTCTGCACAGTAAAAGAAATTATCAACAGAGTAAACACACAACCTACAGAATGGGAGAAAATATTCACAAGGTATGCATTCCAACAGAGGTCTAATACCCATAATATATAAGGAATTTACACAACTGATTAAGCAAAAAACAAATAATACCACTTAAAAAAATGGGCAAATGACATGAACAGACACTTCTTAAAAGAAGACATACAAGCAGCCAACAAATATGGAAAAATGCTCCATGTTACTACTTATCAGAAACATGAAAATCAAAACCATCTCACAGCACTCAGAATGGCTACTAGTAAAAAGCCAAAAAACAACAGATGCTGGCAAGGCTGTGGAGTAAAGGGAATGCTTATACACTGTTGGTGAGAATGTAAACTAGTTCAGCCACTGTGGAAATCAGTTTGGAGATTTCACAAAGAACTTAAAACAGAGTTACCATTCGACCCAGCAATCCCACTACCGGGTATGTATCCCCCAAGAAACAAATCATTCTATCAAAAAGACCCATGCACTTGCATGTTCATCGCAGCGCTATTCACAATAGCAGAGACACAGAATCAACCTAGGTGCCCGTCAACAACAGACTGGATAAAGAAAATATGTTGCGTATACAACATGGAATACTATGCAGCCATAAAAAAGGATGAAATCATATCCTTTGCTGCAACATGGATGGAGCTGGAAGCTACTACACTAAGTGAATTAATGCAGGAATGGAAAACCAAATACTGCATGTTCTCACTTACAGGTGGGAGCTAAACTTTGGGTACTCATGGACACAAAGATGACAACAATAAAAACCGGGGGGTACTAGAAAGGGGAGGGAGGGAAAGGGGAAAGCGTTCAAAAACTAGTTAGTTTGGATACTAGTACTACTCACAGTTGGGTACTATGAGTAGTACTATTATTAGTAATAGTACTCATAGTACATAGGTGATGGGATCATCCACACTACAAACCTCAGCATCAAGCAATATACCCAGGTAACAAACCTGCACATGTACCTCTTGAGCCTAAAATAAAAGTTAAAAATGTTTTAAATAAAAAATAAAAGCTTTAATATTAACAATAATATTAATACCTAATTAGTAATATCCCACATTCCTGGATGCAGAGGAGGATAATAATAACGGATGCCATTTATCTATTGACTATTTGAGTCATCAAGGATGTCAGACCTGCATATCATATATGAACAATGCTGAGTCACTGGAGATACAGGAAATATCCTATTTCCTTCTTTCATTTGATCAAATCAAAACCAGCTTCAGTCTCTCATTTTCCAAGGTTAGGATGAACTCTAGCATCATTCACTTGGAGTGCTTTCCCCTCCGTGGGAGTTTGTAAAAGCTCAGGGTTTATAAAGTCCGGGGAGTTGGAAAAGGCTGTGGTCTCCAGTCCATGATGGCTGCAGCCACCAGAACTGCTTGGCCAGACTTGCAAGGTCCAGAGGGAGATAGAGCCTGCCTTGGGGGGCAGTCTCATGCTCTGGTGAAGATGGCTCAGGAGACCTTTGCTGTGGCATCAGAGGCACAGGGTTCGTGCTTAGCGGCGCTCAACTGACCTTTGCCACCACTGGTAAACTTTGTCCCAGCTGGTCTGATTTTCCTCATTCCCTGGAACCCTATATCTCTTGTGCTCTCACAGTCTTAGGGAATCCAACCTCCACTCTGTTGGACTGGACCACTCTCCTCTTTAAAAGCATCAACCTTCTTCTGCACTTAGACAATCCAGCTTGATTGGCTCAATCAACTTGCCAGGAGCCTCAGACTGAAGTGCCTCCAGGGGCCAGGCAGAGGATGTCAATGAGTGAAACTGAGGCATGGGGAACTAGAAAGACCTAAAGAAGCTGTGCTCATCTAAGGGGGCAATTGCTCCCCACCCCCTACAATTGTCACATGTGAGAGGAATCTAGGTTCAGTGTCAACAGATTGTCAGATTTTCAAGAGATGCCAGAAACCCAAACTGTTATGCAAAATCTCCTGACTTGTAAATGTTGGCAGCTAATTCATTGCTTTTTTTTTTTTTTTTAAGACACTATACAAGCCCAAACAAAACACATAGCAAGCCAGATGTGGACCAAAGCCTGAGAGTTTGTTTTAGCTACCCAGACATTCAAAAACAAAATTTATTTGAAGTGGTCTCCCAGGGCTACTGGCAACTTCTCTATTTTTGTGTGAAACACAAAAACTCAACTTCCCTTGCAAAGCAAGGGGACCTAGGCTCAGAAGACAAAGGCTTGGCTGCACTTCTGATGAGGGGAATGAGAGGAAATCACGTTTGTCACAGTTTTCAGCCTTTCCGTGCAAATATGCAGTGGAAGACAGAATAAGAAAGAGAAAGAAGGAAGGAAAAAAGAAAGGAAGGAAGGGAAGGAGACAGCGAAGGAGGGAGGAGAAAGAAAAAAGACTTAGCACCAGCTAATGTTCTAATAACTCATCCTGCATTAACTCATTAAATCTTCATGCAAGGTAGAAATGCATAGACGGAGGAAAGACTGTGACCAACCTTCAAGCCAAGATAAATGATTTCCTCGACAGTCTGGGGAGATGATGCTCTGCCCAGCAGAGGGACCAGGTGGGCAGATGCGGCTGTAACACCCTGTCCACGCTCAGCCTGGAGGAGATTCAGGACCAGGCCTTGCCAGGGACAAGTGTCTTACAGGGGAAATGTGAGAGCCAGGAAGAAAGTAGGGGCTTCAGGGATGTGACCCCCGTAGGCGTTGCATGGGTCTGAGTAGGGGCCAGACCATGGGCACTAGCATCTATGGTGACTTGGCCTAAAAAAATTTTAACTCTTGGATTGCAGTCTGCCAATTTTTAAACGTGTTATCTCTATTCTACTTACTTCCAAAGGAATCTGAGACAATTCAGATGTAGATTAAATAGAATATAAAGCAGGAGCACCAAAAAGGAAGCAAGAAGAGAGATCCCTGTCACATGAGATGAGCTCATTTTTGAGACTGGGCCCCAATTTGACCGTAAGTTTCCTGATAGCCAAGTCAAAGAGGAACCCTTGAGGCACGTGGTTTGTTTTGTCTGACGATTGGAGAATACACACTCACCTATAATGGCAAACTCTTGGTGGGAGCTAATTGCAAAGAGGAATTTATTGTGTGAGGAGTGTTTCCCATACTTTCTGTCTGAGTCCGGATCTGCCAAGAAGCAGACACCAAGTTCAAGGATTTATTTGGGGAAACACTGGTGTGACAGAAACGGACAGGGACCTGGGAGAGCAGCTGTCAGACCCTGGTGCAAATCTGACTCCAAATGAAGGAGAAAAGGAAGAAGGGTCAGTGGAAATGCCTTGGACTGATGGGAGTCCAAGAAAAGCTCAGCAGGGCAGTTGGAGAAGCTTGAGCATCTCCTGGGGAAGGGCCTGCTTTAGAACCACTACCATACCCCGTATTGGCTGGGAAGTGTGGCTCAGCAGAAAGTGATGGATTTCACAGCTGTCTTAGTCTGTTTGCATTGCTATAATATAAAGGAACACCTGCAGCTGGGTAATTTATAAAGAAAAGAGGTTTATTTGGCTCAGTGTTCTGCAGGCTGTACAAAAAGCAGAGTGCCAGCATTTGCTTCTGATAAGGGGCTCAGGGCTCAGGAAGCTTCCACTCCTGGTGGAAGGGGAGCCAGCGTGTACAGATCACATGCTGAGAGATGAAGCAAGAGAGAGGGGGAAGGTGCCAGGCTCTTTTTAACAACCAGTTCTCAGGGGAGCTAATAGAATGAGAACTCACTCACTACCACAAGGATGGCATTCATGAGGCATCCACCTCCATGGCCCTAACACCTCCCATTAGGCCCCACCTCCAACACTAGGGACCAAATTTCAACCTGAGATTTGGAGGGTCAAATATCCAAACCACTACAACAGCACAACAGCTGGGGACCTGCGTCCATTAAACTCCCGGTCGTGGGAGATGAGCGAGGTACATTCTCACAGCTACCACACTTCCCAAATGTCAGTTGCTTATTCTTGTACCACTTTCATGGTTGTTTTTTTTTTTTTTTTTCCATGTCAGCGTACCACTGTTAAAGAAAAAATTTATTCTGACACTTGTTAAAATGGTAAGGAAGACTTATCCAAGACTATTGCATTAGGAAAGAGAAACCAGGCTCAACGTGGAATAAGGAAAAGCCAGTTGGGGATTTACAGCCAGTGGGCAGAGTAAAGGGGTCAGTGGATGGAAAATTCCTAAGAGGGGACATCAAGGGTTGGGGCATTCTTGCTAAACTGAGCTAACGGGACTCTTGCTAGAGGTAGGTCAAATTCTTGTACATGTATAAATTATTGTACATGAAGGGGTGCAGGAGATATCAAGGGTGGGGGATTCCAACCTAAACTGATTTGGCAGGATTGTTGCTAAAATTGGGATGGGCAGGCCAAAGGCAGGACAGGAACCAAGGCTAAGGCCCAGTGAAGACGAGGGCTAAGAGGGGGCCGAGTAAGGTTTGGTCCAGGAGAGAGTCTTTGTTATCACCTGTCCTGGTATGGATCTGACATGATTCTTCAAGTTGACTTTAGATTTTAGCTTTATGCTTAGATGGGAGACTACCGGAAAACACAGGGTGCTGTAGGCTTCAAAAGAATAAATAAATAAAATAAATAAGTTCTAGCTTCATGCATGGATTGAGGAACTATTAAAAATAATAGCAAAGGCCGGGCGTGGTGGCTCACGCCTGTAACCCCAGAACTTTAGGAGGCTGAGGCGGGCAGATCACAAGGTCAGGAGATGGAGACCATCCTGGCTAACACGGTGAAACCCAGTCTGTACTAAAAATATAAAAAATTAACCAGGCATGGTGGCGGGCATCTGTAGTTCCAGCTACTCGGGAGGCTGAGGCAGGAGAATTGCTTGAACCCGAGAGGTTGCAGTGAGCCGAGATCGTGCCACTGCACTCCAGCCTGGGCGACAGAGTGAGACTCTGTCTCAAAATAATAATAATAATAATAACAAAAACTGCAATTACTTTTTCACCAACCTAATAGTTTTTTATATATATAATATATCTATTTGGAGGATATGTATATTTCATACATATATTTGGAGGATATATATATTTCATATACATATTGGGGGATATATATATTTATATATATTGAGAGGATATATAATTTCATATACATATTTGGAGGATATAGATATTTATATACATATTTTGAAGATATATATATTTCATATACATATATGGAGGATATATATATTCATATACATGTTTGGAGGATATATATTTATATATGTATTTGGAGGATATATATATTTCATATACATATTTGGAGGATACATATATTTATATACATATTTGGAGGATATATATATTTCATATACATATTTGGAGAATATATATATTTCATATACATGTTTGGAGGCCATATATGTTTCATATACATATTTGGAGGATATATATATTTATATATATTTGGAGGATATATATATTTATATACATATTTGGAGGATATATATATTTCATATACATGTTTGGAGGCATATATGTTTCATATATATATTTGGAGGATATATATTTCATATATATGAAAATACATGTATGTATTTTCTAACATGCATTACAATAAATGCATAACTATTCAAATTTTAAGGTTGTTTGTATGCCATCTAAAATTGTCCTGCATACCACCAGTGGTACACATACTGCACTTTGGGAAATGCTGGTTTTACAAAGAACACAGAAATGTGGAAGGAAAGGCTATATTCCAGCCCTGGCTGGCATGCTGGCTGCCAGCTCTAAGTAGATTACTTCGGGCACCTCTTGAGGCTCAGAGAAATGGCTAAAGACATTCTGAGGAGGAATGCAGGTGAGACGAGGGTGAGGCTCAGTAGACTGAGTTTCCTCCCACCCCTACTACTTCCCAGACGTGGAGCTGGACCTCCAGAGGAGCGTGCAGGCTGTGCTCCGGGAGCTCAGCACCCAGGCCCCTGCCCTGCAGAGCAACCAAGGTAAGAGCCAGCTGGCGGCAGCAGCTGGTCCCTCTGACCTCCACCCAACCCCAGCCAACAACACACACACATACAGGAAAGGGCCCGGCCTGGAGCTCACGGGGCCAGGGTCTTCTCGCCAAACCCCTTTCCTGCTGGAAATACCTAGAGCCTGAAGGACTGAGAAGGCTTCTCTGCTCCCTAGTTCAACCCTCCCAGCAACTGCCACAGAGCACGTTGGGGATCTGCCACCATTTTTCTTTCCTTTTTTTTTTCTTTTGTTTTTGAGATGGAGTCTCACTCTGTCACCCAGGCTGGAGTGCAGTGGCACAAACTCAGCTCACCGCAACCTCTGCCTCCCCGGTTCAAGTGATCCGCCTGCCTCAGCCTCCCGAGTAGCTGAGATTACAGGCATGCGCCACCACACCTGGCTAATTTTTGTATTTTTAGTAGAGATGAGGTTTCACCATGTTGACCAGGCTGGTCTCGAACTCCTGACCTCAAGTGATCCACCTGCCTCAGCCTCCTAAAGTGCTGGGATTACAGGCGTGAGCCACGGCACCCAGCCTGCCACCCTCTTTGTTAACCACCTTCCCTAGCTTCACTTTCTTTTTCTTTTTTTTTTTTTTTGAGATGGAGTCTCGCTCTGTCGCCCAGGCTGGAGTGCAGTGGCCGGATCTCAGCTCGCTGCAAGCTCCGCCTCCCAGGTTTACGCCATTCTCCTGCCTCAGCCTCCCGAATAGCTGGGACTACAGGCGCCCGCCACCTCGCCCAGCTAGTTTTTTGTATTTTTAGTAGAGACGGGGTTTCACCGTGTTAGCCAGGATGGTCTCGATCTCCTGACCTCGTGATCCGCCCGTCTCGGCCTCCCAAAGTGCTGGGATTACAGGCTTGAGCCACCGTGCCCGGCCCCTAGCTTCACTTTCAAACTTAATTCCCCTCAGCACTCCAGGCCTACAGGACTTCCAGAATGTGGCTGGGGGCACACACCTGCAAGCACTGCTGCTCTGTGATCCACATGCATACACCTGTCACAACCTGTCCCCACTGGTGTCCCACCTGCCTTCCTTTCTGCCCTGGGAATTCACTGTCCACAAAGGGCTACAGATCAGAACTCCCGCCTTGGGAGGAGCCCACCCAGGTGCCCAGGTGCACCTGGAGCCAAGCGCTGGTGGCAGGGTCAGACCTGCGGCTGGTCGGAGCTGCGGCTGGGGCTCCAGGGCTCAGGGTCCTGCTCAGAGGAGTCTCCTGTAAGAGCTCCTTCCCACCTGGTCATGCTGGGCTCCCCTTTCTCCTGGCCCAGGCATGTGGAGATGGTCCCTGCACAAGAAGGTCGAGCGAGATCCTGGTAAGAGCCCGGCGCTGGTCCGCATTCTGCTCAGAGAACTGGAGAAGGTGAGTACCTGGACCTCACGAAGGAAGACGGGGATGAAAGGAAGAGAGGGGCCAGTTGGGCAGGGGCTCAGTCCTGGCAGTTGTATGTCTCCCAAGCTTTGGTTGCCTGCATAATTTTTATCATATGCATCTCCCTCCTGTACTTTTACGTAAGCAATATTTTATTTACATCGACTCTCATTGTGTTACTTGAATAAACATCTTTCAAAAAGAAGCGCCATAATGCGACCACAAATGGAAAATCCATATCATTTGTCAGAAACAGAAGGTGCTTATAAACATAAATATACGATTATTGACGTTTCTCAAAATTATCCTCGGGCCACCTACATTATCCTCCACACTACCCAATGTCGTGCTTGCAGCTGTGTGGGAAACACTGTATTCAAGGGTGGCTCCAAGCTGGGGACTTGTTTGTTGCTTTGCTGCGACTCCTACCCTAACTGAATTTGGCCCCTCACCTGCAGAGATCTCTGAGGCCTCCCGGATGCTCCCACACCCTCCCCGAGGGGCTTCCTCACCTGTGTGCCCTTCCCTCCCCAGTCCTCTATCCAGAGCAGACAATGGCCCTTTGCTGTCGCCCTGGCTGCCTTCCACCCCATCTCCTGCCTCCTGCTAAGAGGTGGGGAGTCCCCCAGCCCAATACCTGTCACGTGATCTCCTGTTTTCCAGGCGGAAAGCGAGGACCTCCGGCATGTCATCATTCCCTTGCTGCACACTGTAATGTACGTGCTCACCAAGGTGAGCCGGGGACTGAGGTCGAGGTGGTACTGGTGACCTGCACGTGGCTGGGCCAGACACTGTCCTTTCCCCTTAGTGGGCAGTCAGTCTCTGCCAGGATGAGCCTAGAAAATCCCTTGGATTACCCGCCCTAAACTGGCTTCTAAGCGCCAGCCACCCCCTTTCCCTCCTATATGGAGAGAGAACTTTGGAGAGACAATGGCCTTGAATGGCAGGATGAGGTCTTTGCATGTGCTCCTGTGTGCAGTGCGACAGGAGACATCGCTGATCCCTACACAGAGAAGAGACATGATACAGATGCGGTGAATGTTTCAGGAAGAGTAATCAGGAGCTGTGCGTTGTCGCAGGGGGTGGGAGTGGGGGTTAAGGAAGGCAGGAAGAGCAAGTCTGGGGTTGCCGGAGACTCCAGGGTCAAGACGGGGCTCAGCTCCGGCAGAGGCAGGGGGCACAGGGAGGTGGGGAGGGAGAGGGGGCCTCCCGGGCACTGTGGAGCCCAGGCCTGTGGGATGCAAGGAGGAGCAAAGGAGACTGAGGAAGCGCCTCCGAGGTTTTGAGCCTGGAGAACCGCAGGAATGTGCTTCCCTGATAGAGCAGGAGGGCTGGGAGGAAGTTGATTTGCTTGCAGAACTGATGCAATGAATTTTTATCTTGGTAAGTTGGGGCGGGGTGACAAAGGGATGTCGTACAGGTGCTGGGAGAAGAGGCTGGAAGGTGTGGGTTTGGGAGAGAGCTGTGAGCCCAGGTCTGGCTTCCACCTCTTCTCCCAAGCCCCGCCCCGGAAACTCCCCTGGGACCCTTCACCTCCTTCTCCTCCTCCCTCTTACCTCCCCCTCCTCTCTCTCACCCCCCTCCTCCCTCTCGCCTCCCCCTCCTCCTTCTTACCTCCCCCTCCTCCTTCTCACCTCCCCCTCCTCCCTCTCACCTCCCCCTCCTCCCTCTCACCCAGGCCACAGGAATCACAGAGGAGCTCTACCAGAGAATCTACGCCTTTTGCACGAGGTTACTGACCCTGCCCACCCCCTACTGCACAGTCGCCTTGGACTGCGCGATAAGGCTGAAAACAGAGACGGCCGTCCCAGGTGAGAGTCACCGGGCATCTTTGTCTCCCATGCTGCACCTCCAACACTGCCCAGGGTCTTTCCTTTTTCTCCAGGATACCAGGGGGCTCAAAAGCCTCCACACGTTCTGTAGGAAGGTGGAGAATGGGAATCAGAGAGACCTGGGGGCTGGTTGGCCAAAGTGGTCTGGTTTGCAGGGACCCTCTACCAAAGGATGGTCATTGCCGAACAGAACTTGATGAATGAACTGTATCCCTACCAGGAGAGGTGAGTGGCCCCAGAAAAACTGCTCCCTTCAGCCTCCTAAAAGTGTTGTGGCGTTAGTGACTGCTCCCTGGCAGGAGGACAGAAGAGGAGGCTGGATTAAGAAGAGCCCTAGCAGAACTCCCCAGCCCTGGCATTTGTCCAGCAGTGGAGTGCGTTTGCAGTTCAAGGTTGGCG